GTGGTTAAGAGATGTGGCTGACACACCAGGGACAGGAGAAGATCGAGGCCTCAGAACTATCTGTCCTTTCTCCGATGTTTGCTTTGCTGTTGTTGTTCTTCATTTGATTGATTCAGCTGATTTAATTTCTCTTTAAGCAGCTGAATTCTCCAAAAGTTACTCAGAAGTGAGGGCAAGGAAGGAGAAAGCTGGGTACAAAAATTGGGAAGTGCTTTTCTGCCAAGATAATGGTGAGACACGGGAATGGTTTGTGTGAGAAGCCCCTGATGATGTAATCCCCAGGAGCTCAGCACAGTCTGTGGAGTCTGACAGCCCACTCTGCAGGTTTCAAACACGCTCCCTGCAGACAGAAGCCCCATCTGGAGGTGTAAAGAGGAATGGATTTTCTGGTCATAACGGCAGGGCCAACTGTGCTGCTGGATGGTCCATCCCGCACACCCTGATCCAGACTGGCCTCAGCCCCAGCCCCACCTACCATGCCATCGTCCTCGTCTCGTGGGGAGTAGGTGAGTGTGCTGGAGGAGGATGGGGTCCGACGATGCTGTTTAAAAGTATTGGTCCCGTCAGCTTTAAAGGAAATGATATGAAAAAAAAAAAAAAAAAAAAAAAGCAAGCATTTAGGCTCCTCAGTAACATCTGCAAGCTACAGGTCAGTCTCTGTAGCTGTAAGAGCTCCTTAGAAAAGGAACAGACCAGGGATCCCCCAGCTCCAGTTCTTGACCTGGACATAATGCAGGCAGAACAATCCTGATCTCTGATCTGCTGAAACGCACGCGGCCCTTTGAAGGCAGCTTGCCCAGAAAAGGGCACAGATAATATTCTACCAGCTCCAGAGGTTAAAAATACTACTAAAAGGAAACCTTATACTCCCATATATTTCAGTCACCAACCAAAATTCCTTCAATCAAGGGAGGTCTGGATATTCTTGCAGCACAAAGGAAACATGCTAAATTCAATTGGAGTTATTTGTATAAAGATCATATTCCTGACTTATATAAAATTTTGACTGTAAATACTCATGAGTCCAAAAACATCTAGAGTCCGTAGTCCTGTACAAACGTACTCCAAACACTTCCCCTGGGCAGAGGTTAATTTCCTTATCTAAATCAGTGTCAAGTGCCACAGTTTATCGTTACTAAAGGATATTTTTATTCCAAAATGAAACCAGACCTGTTCGTACACTCACACCATGTGTCAGGGCTCAGACTCCTCACCTGCTGGGCTTTGAGGAACAAGGCACAGGAATTTTAAATCAGCAGGTACACTTGCACCCCCTCCCGTCTGAGTTAAAAATGGCCACGGGGGTTCTACCAAGTGTCCAGAGTGACTCACAGTCAGGCAGAGAGAGCGAAGATGGGAATTTTCAGCACTGGAAATGATTGTGTGAGAAGTCAGAAAGATAAATAAGATTTGTGACTGAGCTCTGTATCAAACCCTGTCGTACTATCCTCATTTCTGTAAGGGCTTCCCAGTGGTACTGTTAAGTCTGCCTAACGGGAGAAAATTTCTGTGCATGCTCATTTCCATCACACCTGGTGATCAGATGCCAGGATTAAATAACACTTGGGCTGCACAACACCAAAACCAGCACCTCAGCACCTGGGTGCAATGAACACAGGGATTCTCCCAAGAGCTTTATGATCTGGAAAACAACAACAACAAAAACCAGGTAGGAATCACACACACTGCTTTGGGGAGAAGCTCTATGCATGAAATACACTCACGCTTTGTGATGGTCGTCACAGCAGAGTAAGCTGGCCCAAAAGTTGTTTCCATTCTTGTCTGAAACACAGACAAAATGCAGGTCAGTGTGTATCCCTGCAGCACAGCCCAAAGTACCATATTTTCAAAAGCCATCTTCATTTTCTCAAAAGAAAGGATGAGAGCATAAGAAGCAGCCCTAGCCCCTATCCCCTGCCAACACCACCGAGCCTTACCCCGTTAGTGTTTTCGGAAGTAGTGATGTTCGTTGTGCCACTGGAGAAACGATTGTAGCGTGCGTTCTTGTTTGAGCTCATAATCTAGGCCAGCATTTGTTAGTCATGGGAAGTCTCCTCTGTGGAAGAAGAAAGACAGAAAGAGAGCTGGGTTCATTGTACATATTTTCCTGGGCTCAGAGAACCATCTCTGCAGCATTCAGTCCAAGTATTTACCTGAGCTGGCATAAACCTGGATTTTCAGAAGCAAGTGTCAAGGTCAAAGCCAAGTTCCTCCAGATCACTCCTGGTTGAGTGTTCAGCATTTTCTAAAGATATGGTATCTTTTAAAATGACTCCTTAATCACCCAGATACTGGAATACCCATAACCATTAGCTGCTCTTACAAGTATACAACTGTTTTAATAGCAGACGAGACTTCTCAGGAGACAACTCTCAGACAGACGGCATTCCACTGGCCACGATACACACTAAACTCTTAAAAATGAGGCGATGTCCCGGCTGTGGCTGACAGTCCAGCAGAGAAGAGCCCTTTGCAGGCTCTGCAGCTGCTCCTCTCTCCCTCTCTGGTTTGAGTGTAGTCCAGAAAGCAGGTTACCTGCAGCTTCCCAGAACACTCTGCACAGGGCAGGGATTCGTCAGCGGGGTCCTCACAGGGAGCCCCTTCCCCGAGACACGGCGTCGGCGAGCACAACACAGACCGTGCCACGGCAGGCAGAGGGATTTCGGCAGAGTCCACAGACACAAACCTGATCTTTCAGCATGCCGAGGAACTGTGAGTGCATGGAGGGCAGAAAAGGTCTGTGAATGTAAAGCTACACCAGTAAAACCCTTATGCCATTAACCGTGGGGCTCAAGCCACGCTGGACTGGACTCTGGAGGCCAGGGAGCTTGTCCACTTGCAGCTTTGCAGCTCAGGCCGCCTTCCGAGCACACGATAGCAACATCCCATTCAGTCACCCGGGGCTTTGCTTTAGCACAAGGCGTTGTGACTGCCTTCCTCCCGCCAGGACCACCCACCCCAGCTGAAGGACGAGGAGCCTGGAAGCCCAGCATCCCCACATCCTTGCCAGCCGCGGCGGCAGAAGGGACCCCTCCACCAGAGCCTCCTCCCCGAGCAGGCTGTGCCGCGCTTTCTGGCACGTCCTGCCAAGGAAACCAAAGCCTAAACTTCCTTGCGTCCCCAGGACTTGAGACTGCCTCAAATTCAAACGTGTGATTAGGAAAGGCCTCATCCTGTTCTTGTGATGAACTCAGTGGGAGTTTTGCTTTAATTCAAAAGCCCCGGGCTGTACAGCTGAACACAAAAGCCACGGCTGGATCTTAGCAGAAAGCAAAAATCCCACATTCCATTTGATATAGTTGTGTTAAAGGAGTTCTTTCCAGCACGTTCTGAGCTACGAGGTCAAAGAAACCATGAAAGAAACCTGACTTCAAGTAACATGTTTGTGATTCTGGATCTCACTCCCAGTTTCTGCTCAGAAACAACCAGCAAAGTCTGAGCATCACCCAGAAAGAGAAACCCTCTCCCCCCAGAAGGCAGCAGTGGGGCTCATTTCTCTTCCTCCATTGCTTACACAGGCTTTTTACTAGGTTCAAGTTTGCAAAGTCAAGCACTACACAATAATAATCTGCAGAAACACACGGACTTTGCTTTCTTTAACCTCTGTTGAAACCTGATGCTGCCTTCAGGGAACAAAATTTGTCCCAGCAAAGCTGACAAGATGCTCTCAGAGAGTCTCCTTCGGAGCCAGGGTACCCCCAGGAGGAGCTGCGCCTCCTCCCTGCCATCGTATGGAGATGCTCCGGGCTTGAGCAGAAGTTTCCATCAGAGAAGATAAGGGTTCGGCAGGGCATTGGCCTCTCCTCCCAAGGTGCCCCTCCATCCTTGTAGCTGAAGGCACGGTCTGTGCTGCCAGGCTGTCCCAGCCTGCCCGAGGAGACGCGGACCCTGCGCCCCGGGAATAAGCTGCTCAGGAACACTCCTGATGACAAGAGCCCTTTCTGTCCAGGGGATAGTTCAGTCTCGGTGCTCTCACTGCCAGCAGCAGAGTCCAAAGGGCTAAACAGACATCTGCAGCGAGGACAGACAGGCCAAAATCGGTTTACTAAGACACAACCAAAATCCTTTTTTGCAGGACAAGAGCCAACCACCAGTGAAGGGCACCTTGGAAGAAACACTCTGCAGATACCTGCAATCGGCCAACGCTGAGCTCCTGGTCCCTGCCGAGGAGCGACCTGGCTCTGGGTCAGGCTTTCACGCTCCCACTGCTCGCACTTCCAGAGCTGGGGAAGTGGAGGGTCTTGGGTGTTTCTAGCAACTGGTTTTCTCTTACCTGAGAGTGACAAGTCCCAAATCTCCAAGCTCTTTATAAAGGAGGCCACTGTGTCTTCTCCACTTTACAGGAAGGGAAACTGAGGCTCAAAGAGAGACACGATCACACCACGTAGCTGTGACCTGGGACTTGCCCAGGGCCTCCTTACTCCCAGCCCACCTCCTCCGCAAGCCCCAGCACAAGGCTGCCAGCCCATGGGGCCGGTCGCATCCTGCACCCACATTTTAAACACTGCAAAGGCGACGCTCAAGCTGTCCTTGGCCAGTGCTCCACTAACAGCTGACAGCTCAGCCATGCCCGAGTTCCTTATCAGGCACTTGCCAGGTCCGGGGAATCACAACTCAGATCTAAACTCTCAGAAAAAACAATGGTCTAAACAAAAAAACCAAACCCAAAACCCCAACAAAAAAACAAACAGAAACCTCAAAACTAAACTCAAGTCCTCTTAAAAACAGGGATCTGGATAATGTTTTCCACACATTTCCACCGAGCACTGTCCTGGCTGTTTGCAAATGCCAGATCCCTCAGGAGATGCTAAGCAGAGTTGCTGGAGCTGTCTCAAGAACAGCAGGGATGAAGCAGTGCTGTGCTGCTGCATCATGGAGACCTGCCGAGTTTAAAGCTGGGCTCCAGCAAGCCAGAAGTTTGGCACTGGCCGTCAGGATCCTTTTATTCCTCTCCGTGGCTCCTCAGAGCACAGAGAGCAGAAGGCAGAGGGAGGGTGGGTGGTGGGGAAGAGGACAGAGACAGCTTTTGGGTAACACACCGCCCATGGCCCTGTGAGATCTGAACCCCACTCACCCTCTTCCAACCTGGGACAAGCCACTGGAGCTCTCCGCTTGCCCTCTGCACAAGTCTCTCTATTTTATCTCTTCTGCACAATACATCTGGACTACAAAGCCTGAAGATGAAAGAATCTTTGGTTATTTGTGCAGCATCTAGCACAAAAAGGTCCCCACCTCTGCTGGGGCCTCCAGATGATTCAGCGCTCATAAATAACGTAAAGCAAGTGCTTCCACGAGTGATGAGACAAACTGCCCCATTTCCTGTGATTTCATGCCCTGAGGTTGCATTATCTCATGTATATTATCTCATGTATAACATGCACGGATCCCTAAAGCACCCCTCCTCTAGAGGTTCCCCATGTCTAACAACACAGCTAAGCTCCCCAGCTTTTCCCCCGGGGAAGAGATTCAGCACCCTCCTCCTCATCCTCCTCCTCCCACGTTAGGGTGGACATAGAAGGACTCCCTTTTCAGCAGGGCTACGAATTCGTGATTCCTTCTGCAGAGAACCTCAGCAGCACCTACCCAAACACCCGCTATCCTGCACCACCCACGAGACAAGAGCAGGGGTACGGTCCCACCTCACACATCAAATATTCCCACTGGGTTTTAGGGCAAACAATCGCTCTCAGATGGAAAGAGAGAAAGCCCATCTTTACGGGGGATTGTGGGCTGTCCAGAAACTTGGGCAAAATCTTCATCCCCTTCTCATTTTCAGGGTATGGACTGCCTTCAATCATAACAGATGGAGACTCAAACGAGCAATGGGAAAGCACCCACTGTGGAGCACAACGAGAGGAAAAACCAAGAATGAGGACAACTAACAGTTTGAGTAGTCTTATAATATCATTAAATGCAGGATCTGACGTGCAACAGTGACATACAGACACCTGAGCCACTGCAATCAGTGAGTTACGGCTTGCCAGCCAAGAATAAGCATTTCAATAACTGCCTTTGAAACCCCTGTGCAGGCCAGGAGGTGTCCACCGTGGTGTGGCTCTCAGGGTAAGCCCACAGACCACAGAACTGCTTACCCAGGAGAGACAACTCCAGTTTCACCCTGTCCCAAAGCCCCACCGAACAGATGCAAAATGCCTTCCAGCTTCAACAGATCCTGCCTAAATCCGGAGTGAGGAAGGGAACGCTGGCGAGAAGACGGGGATTTTCCACTCACTGTTCATAAGCGTGTCCCGCGCTCTGCAGCTTGGCTGAGCAACATACCTGCAAGCAGCAGCAGGGAGCCTGCTTCAGGTCTTCTCTGAACAGAAACCAGAGGAATGCGAGCAATGGAAAAAATGTCAAATGGAATCTCAGCCAGGCTGCAGAACACCAGCCGCCACACGAATATCCAATTTCAGCCCAAATCTCTGCAACCCTATATAGTAAGGATTTCAAGAGAGCAGAAACCTCTCTAGAGGACTGTCACAGCTCCTTCACATCTCAGTCTTCCAAGAGGCACTAAGAAAAGCCTTTCCAACTGATATCAAAGAAGTTACAAGGAGTCAGAAAAGAGCTGGTGCTGTTGACATTAATACCAGCTTCCTACAGCACTTGCAAAGATCTCGACCAGACCTCTGACCCTTGGCTTGGCATCTGAACCCTGCCAGCTCCGCCATCCTGTGCTCTCAGACCCGGAGGACGAGCACCCCTCCGGGGTGGCTGGTGTCCCTCCCCGGGACACCCTGCACTGGCCAGGGACAGCTCCTGCCCCTGCTCTGTCCCCAGGCAGAGCTCCTCAGCCTGCGGGGTCTGCGCAGAACCTGTCCTGAGGAGATGCAGACTAAACACAGTGCAGGAATTACCTACTCCATGTTACAAAACACGTGCACTCTGTGACCCAGAAGGAAAAAGAAGATTTACTGCAAACCACAGCATCCTTTGGGTTGCTAAGCCCTTCTCAGGCGACCAAACACAAAGGGGCTCTGGAAATCCCCTGAGCATCTTCAGCAGCTCCGCAGAG